AAAGTTTGGTTGAACATGTTATATAAAATAGTAAAGTTTGGTTGAACATGTTAAATAAAATAGTAAAGTTTGGTTGAACATGTTAAATAAAATAGTAAAGTTTGGTTGAACATGTTAAATAAAATAGTAAAGTTTGGTTGAACATGTTGCGTACCTCCTCTCATGGTCTCCAGGTGCTCCCACAGGATCTCCCCAGCAGTGCAGTCTGACATCAGGCCTAGAAAGGCCTCCCTGTCCAGACAGCACAGCTCACTGCCCTGCAGACCCCTCAGTTCTGAGCCCAGACCCTGGAGACCAAACTCAGCCTGGCACCAGTCCAGCCAGTGGTTCACCTCCCACTCTGACCATGAAGTAGGATCTGAACACGTGCATGAAGAGTATACATCAATGGACATGTCCAGAACAGGTTTTACATTTCCAGATAGATTTATGTCTCATACCAGGCAGGAAGTGATGCTTGATTATTTCCTGAGAGAAACCAGCAAAACTGGCTTTCACCGCCTGACTGAGGACCTCCTTACTGGTGGGAGTCAGAGGAGGGACCTCCAGAGGGTCCAGCTCTGAGACAAAAGGAACATAATCATACTACAAACTGACAAATCAAATTTAACTAGCAAAACAATTTGTTTTCTGAAAATAYCTTCATGGTCAGTAAACCTAAAAGACTTCATGATGATATAATACTATATAAGAAAAGAGAAGCACTGTTTTCAGTCCTCACACATTTTAAATGTGTAATAATGTACTCAAAATGAAGTTATTCCATAGTTTATAAAATATGTTTGAAGCTGTAAAACATTGCAAAATGTTAGTGAGATTAACAAACACAACTTAAGTTACTCTGCTTTTCAATATTTGGGAAATCCCTGAAGAAGATGTCATGGTTTTGTTGTGAGAAGATTGTCAAAGGAAACCCAAAACATTTTACTGTTTAAAGACAATAAAACTAAATACTAAGAACACAGGTGGTAAATTGAGGCTTCGAGAAAAGTAATAACATGTCACAGTGCAGGTTTAATCCAGGGCTACAAAACTAGTTGCTCAGAGAGCCACAGATACTGAAAGCCAAAGACCAGCCATCTGACAGTTATTACTATTATGTAGATTAAAATCACTCATTTTAATTTTTTTTAAGTGTTGAACTCCTGGACGTTACCAGACTCTGTTTCCTCTTTAGTGCTCTGCCTGGTTTTACTGCAGCTGTTTTCAGCTGCTGTTTGTTTCTGTCTGAAGTTTAGTCTTTAACAAGTGAAAYGCTCAKTTGTGTTGAGATCAAATGACTGACATATTCCACTTCTTTGCTTTAATAAACTCCTGGTTGGTTTGGCTTTATGTTTTGGGTCATTGTCCATCTGTAGAATGAAACTCAGACCAATCAGTTTGTCTGGATCTGAGCAGTTTGTCTGAACACCTCAGAATTCATTCGGCTGCTTCTGTCCTGTGTCACATCATCAATAAGTACTCTTGACCCACAGCCAGAGATGTCCAAGCCATCACACTGCCTCCACCCTGTTTTACAGATGATGTGGTACTTTGGATCATGAGCTGTACCACACCTTCACCATACTTTTCTCTTTCCATAATTCTGGTAGAGGTTGATCTTGTTTCATGTCCAAAGAATGTTCTTCCAGAACTCCTGGCTGTTTTACATGTCCAGTCTAGCCTTTTTATTCTTGAGGCTTCTGAGAGTCTTGCAGTGTGCAGTGAACCCTCTGTATTTACTTTCCTGCAGTCTCTTTATGGTAGATTTGGATACTGATACTGTACCTCCTGGAGAGTGTTGTTCTCTGGCTGTTGGCTGAATGGGTTTCTCTTCATCATACACATTATTCTGCTGAAACTCTGGGCTTAATGTTCATGTCTGTTAAATAACTATAACTTAAATATGTTTCAGTAGACAGGCAAAAAAATAAAAACCTTTGTGTCAGTGTTAAAATAGAAATGAGCCCTRAATATGGTTCTACTCTAAGTGCAGAACATTGAAAACATCTCAGTTCCAAAACAATGAGCATGAACATCACACAGATTTTGTTGCACACAAATATTATGTTTAAAAATCTTGCAAATTAAAGACTGAGTTTAATTATTATTAAAGACAAACTTGTGGGTCTAACTG